GCCGACACCGGAGCGCGCCGGGACTGGCCGCCCTGCAGGGGCTCTGGTCGCCTCGCAGGTAGGCCGCCGGCCGACACCGGAGCGCGCCGGGACTGCCCGCCCTGCAGGGGCTCTGGCTCTGGTCGCCTTGCAGGTAGGCAGCCGGCCGACACCAGAGCGCGCCGGGACTGGCCGCCCTGCAGGGGCTCTGGTCGTTGGAACGTGAAGGGACACGGCTCATCGAGTGTGCCTAGACCAACACTTCCCGGAAGGCGAACCGTGGACGGCGGTCAACTGTCGACGTTTCCAGCCGTTGCGTGAGAGGGGGAAAATGAAGGGTTCCTTTTAATTTTCAGTCAGTATCGGTGACGTTTATTTTTCTCATTTTAAGGGTCTGGCAATCACAGAGAAGCCGTAAATTAGCGCTTGCATTTAAAAAGTCGTTCCAATACAATGAATAAATACACATTACTAATAAATATTTACAATAGGTTGTCACTCAGACTGATTCCTGTGATCTGTAAATTGTCTCCCAAAAGAAATTCTTCCTCTCACCATTTGAAGTTGATTTCAACCATTCATGCAATGAAGAACACCTGAACAGCATGAGCTGAATATTGCATACGATTAACATTTAGATTTTGTACTTAGTTACAGGCTCTCTTACAAAGAGAGCACAAATGAGAGAGTCATAAATTTTAAAAGCTGTCTAATTTAAGTGTTTACACTAGGTTAGAGGTAAATAATAGTTATTACTGTAACTTTTGACATTAATTACATTGTACATCATATGTCTAAACTACATCATCAGTCATTACTTTTACATATCTCCTTGTTTGCCTCTTGTTACTTTTCATAATTTTAAAAGAAAGCAAATCAGCTTATAAGTAGATCAGAAAATTTTAAATTAACATACATCACATTCTCTTTTAACAACAAATAAACTGAATACAAGCACATCAATTATCTTGCATCAACTGCAAAATTCATTACATAAAACATGAGATCTCTCTATATCTTCTTAAAACAATAATTAATTGGTAACATTTAAAAACCATGTTTAACTAGCCAAGACAGTTTCAAGCATAAGCACATGTCTGATGTGTACCAAGTATCATGGGTATAATAAGCTGAAGATTTGAAGCAAAACTTTGAATATAGTACCCATGAACAATTAATGGAAGGCTCAATTTAAAACAACAACAGATGTTGGAAACAATCATCTGCTTCAGAGAACTGTTTTAATTCAAATCTATAAATACCGATCCAAAGCAGCTTCACATTCTGATCCAAAACCGTTTTTTCTTGTGCAGTTTACTGAATTCTCATTGACGTACCGTAAATCATAATTAAAGGTCCAACATTACAATTTCCCCACACACCATCCAGACTTTCATAAATTGTCAAAACACTTTCTACTATTTACAATTAAAAAATAAAATAAAAGAAACAAATCATGAAAGCTATCAACAACCTCACAAAAAGAATCAGGAACCTTATTTTGAAATATCATTTGTTTTAAGTGATTTTCAACATTTGTCACTAAGTAAAATCACCTAAACAGACAGAGATTCATTGGAAAAGCCACTTCAGAACAAGATTGAAACGAGATAGATCACTTTACTTCCATGAAGTAATTAGGTTCATCTAAATCATTTGAGAGTTCTTTGAAATTTCTGCTTCAACAATACACATCCCAAATTTCTGATGGGTTTATCCATATGAAATTTTATGTGAGAGGAAAATTCACTAGAACCCCATTAAAAAATAACTTAATTAGGACAAGTCACATACTTAAGCAATCAATACAAACGAATGATTGTATCACAATTCAAACAACCTTCTGACAGTAATCACTAGGGATTAAAAGTAATGCTCGCAGTTTCTTATTTTCCTGTGACATTGGATCTATTGAGCAACACATATTGTACCTAAACAAATTACATCAGATTTAGTATGATTAAGTGATCAAATTCAACAATTATTTATTGAGATATTGACTGGTAACAAAGTAAGATGGAAACTCAAAGTTGATTGCAGATTTTTTTTCAAAAATGTTAGCGAACAAAAAAAAATAAAAAATTGTTAGGCTTCATAGTTCAAATAACAGTGCAAAACATTTCATTGCCTCCTCTTATATGTACATAAATATATCATTCAGAAATCAATTTTGAAATGCATGTGTAGAAGCACTACAACAGTTTGTCTTTACAGTACTAGCTGCATATTGTGAAAATGACACTAATATGGAAATACGGAAAACAAGTTTATCAAGGTCAAAAGCCTTTCATTAAAACAGATGTTTTCATGCCAAAATGCATCAGTCAAGCAAGAGTCCATAAACAGATATTCATATTTTACTTTTGTAGTAACAGGAAAAAAAGAGCATTTAAGAATCCTTGTCTATAAGCATCCATAGGGAATGCAAATCCAATTTTAATTGTAAATATTCCTAAAGCAATGGTCCACAATTTGCACGACAGCGTGATAGCTGTGTGGCTCAGTACCTCAACCATCTACATAGAGAACAGAAACACTCAACACACCAAACATCAATTATTGAGATGATTCATGAGAAGTATTCCAAAATTTAAAAGATGTCTAAAGTCTTTTCAGCATACTTTGATTAATGGCTGCTGTCAAATGACACCTCCCATAGAATAGAAGGGAAATGCTCCATATTGAGCATGAATGGGTGTCTTAGGAGAGGCGCACTGATAGACAAAATCATCTGACTGCAGAGGAGTTCTATTGAGGAAGGGTTCTGATGTTGATCTATGTATTTTTGGTAGTGTCCGTATTAGGCCCTCAAGTGATGCTAGTATCTGTCGGAAGAGTGGCCGATCTTCTCTGCTCACTTTCAAACAATCCTCCACGAGCCTTTTCAGAACCTTTGGTGTTGTTGTCATAAGGTTGGAAAGGTCAGGCCTCAAGTAGCCTCTTCCAACCATGAACAAAATTTGGTCTTTGTTGTTAATATTTGAATATGGAAGTTGTGATGCAAATAACTCATATAGAACTACACCAAATGCATACACATCTGATTGAAATGAGTAAGGGTTTTCTTCCTGCATTCTTATAACTTCAGGAGCCATCCACAAGATGGATCCGGATGGTTGTTGAAACTGCTGTCCACCTGACCACCTGGTTTTCACAGTTGCCAAGCCAAAATCACCAATTTTCACAGTAAGATCATGGAGAAAAATATTGTTGCTCTTCAAATCTCTGTGGATAATATTTTTAGCATGAAGGTAGTCCATACCCTGTGCAGTTTGGCGACTGATTTCAATCAAGGTTAACAGTTCAAACTTTGTCTCTAAAACATGAACATGCCGGTAGAGACTTGAACCTTCACACCACTGGGTAACAATTGCAAGCTGAGGTTTGCTGACGCATCCCATGAATAGTAAAATGTTCACATGTCTTGTCTTACGAAGAACTGCTACTTCATTCTTGAATGCTTGAAGTTGTGCTGGTGTAGGGTCCTTCACATTCAGTGTTTTAACTGCAACAGAACCATGCCAGTGACCCTTGTAGACAGTTCCAAATGAGCCAGATCCAATCCGAGTGCCTATGAGTATTTCATCGGCTGGAATTTCCCAGTCTTCAATTGATTCACGTGGAGTGTGAATTCGTTTATTGGCACTTTCATCTGCACTCCGTGCTCTTGGCCTCCATGGTCTTAAGGCATTTGTTGGGGAAGCCTGCGCACTCTGACTGTGTGATAGTTTGCTAGAGTTGGTAGCCACTACAACAGACCCGGCTGCCTGTGCAATAACCATTTCTTCTAATGATTGCACGTCATTTCCAACATGCACTAAGTTGTAACTGACATTTGGAGCTGAACTTGATCGTTCTCCATGACCTAGACTTCGGTTTGATCTTCTGACAGGCTGTTGTCTGCTAATGTTATTATAACCTGAAGGCATGTGCAATATGCCAGCTGGTGTTTCAGTATTCTGAGCCAGTAACATTTGATAGTAATTGTCTTCCATATGAGATAACTGGCATATAGCAGGCACACCTGATGCACATCTCTGATGAAACCTATATCCGCAAGTGCGACAACAGAACCCCTGAAACAACAGTCTTCTGCAGAATTCACAGAAAGCGAGTGAAAAGAATGTTTTGCGCTGAAAGTTGTGAGATATACTAGAAGTGACAGGGAACATCTCAAGAATCTCCACACGGATCTCTTCCCCTATAATGGACATAATCTCCGTGTCCCATGACAAGGGAATGCGATCAGCCACAGTAACGACAGTACACATCTCTGGGGAAAGGTTTCTTCGGCTCAGACCTTTGTTGAGGGCCTCCCTTAAAGTGAGACCCGGTTTGCAATGTACCACAGTTCTTTGTTGATTTGGCAAATATGCCTTGATCATAGACATGCTCTGTGCAGAGTGGCCCTCACTAATAGGATCAGAGAGAGACCTGTCCTCAAATGCTCCATCTTGCCTCGTTAACTCTTCGCGGTGAGCTCGTCTGTCCAGCAGCTCTTGTTCTTTGTTGTTTAGCTCGTGAAGTTTCCCCGTCAGTTCTTCATATTCATTCACATACATTTGAGGAGGGTTGGGATAATCAGCAAATTTTGCGTTCAACGCGTCGATATTCTCCCTAGTTAATTGAATAACACTTCGAACGTTGCGTATCTCCGCCAGGAGACTATCCTCCTCCTCGGATGGCGAAGAAGACATAGTGTTTTAACTAAAAACGTCTTGTTTTCTCAAATTACTTAGTTCTTGATCATCAAGAATTTTCAGCGACAAGATTGACGAGCCTAGGCCTAGGCTTTCATTCGCTGGCTGGCTGGCCACTCGCTAGTTCCATTCAGCCAAGGTTAGGCAAAAAGCATCACTTGACAATGAAAAATTTAACAGCGCTCACTGGTTTTGTCTGCATGTGGTTTTCAACTCAGGGAAATCCCTCGATAAACATCAGATGGAATAAATAGCTTTGATGTGAGATTAAGCTCAAGCTTTGGCTTCATGTTCAAACGGTAATTTTATTTTCTCAGCTTACCAAGTCAGAGATAACTACAACTGGTGGTTGTGAACTGTAGCTGCTGTAAAGTTGTCATACCCATGGTTCAATATTTCAGGGAGAAAATGAAGAACTGCTTTTATGACGTAACACCTTGTGCGCATGCGCAGAGTGAGAAAGGTAGTAGTGTTTTGTTTGTTTACATTCTAAAATGTAGCCAGAGTTTTCTGCTAATTGTAATTCCCTCTTTCCTTCATTTTATTGACATCTTTCCAGTCTGCTCAAACATGGTTAACTGTTCTATTGATGGCTGCAAGTCGAGGGTGGGCCGGGACAAAGTCAGTTTTTATGGGCTCCCTGCAGTATTAACTAGACAGTGTGAGTTGACGATGGAGCTGTCAGAACGGCGGAGAAAATGTTGGTTTGAACGTATTTATCGATCTGGCTTCGATGAAACAAGTGTTCCACGATATACGCGTGTGTGCGCCAACCACTTTATCACCGGTGAGTTCGATTGGTCCCTCAATTTTCTGCATCTATAACTACCTGTTGTTATATCCTCCAATGGGTTATGTGCCCAAAAAGGATGCCATGTCAGAACAGAAAAACTACTGGGGCAAACTTTTAGGGGGTTCCTCACTTGTTACTAAAGCTATCATTTTTCCTTCCTTTGTTTCTCATCTTTTAGGAAAGCCATCTACATTATTTGATGTTGCAAATGCTGACTGGGCACCCAGTGTCAATCTAGGTAAGTCCGCATCCTGTTTGACAAGGAGTAAAGGATATCAGAAACGTACAACAGCAAGACGCAAGAAAGGGAAAGATGAAGAGACTGAATTCTCATGTCAAATCAAGGGTGACCGGATAAAGAAAGAAGTTGAAGATAATCCATTAATTGAGGAAGATGAAAGAAAAGTTACTTTCGATGATGTGCCTGGCACAGGATGTCAAACAGAAATAACTTGTGAAGGGTTTACACGGCTTGAAGAGATGTACAAGAAATTACTCGAGGAGAATATTGCTATGAGAAGAGAACTAGAAACACTCAAATCTTTGGTGAGAGAACCTTCAGACATAGAAGATCCTTTGGCCATGAGTGATAATGAGGGTACGTTTTATGATTGATATTTATCAAGTATCTTGTTCATCATTTTAATAAACTAACTCATACTGTTTTAATGACAGGTTCTTCTAGTGGTTTGGAGAAGGTGGAAGTAATCCTCAAAACAGAGCCAGATCCTGACATAGATACAGACGCAAATCATGATCCCGAAAGCTTTGCTGACCTTCCATCTTATGATTCGGAGTTTGTAGACGTTCCTGGCAACCGGCTTAGTTCTTTGTGTGCACGGTCGCAACCAACTTTACGGTTACATCGTTACACAGGACAAGAGGTACAATCCAATGCTGATCCAAGACCCAATCACAATAGCCCTGAAGATAAGGAAACAGAATCCGATGACTTGAATACCAAAAGTCAAAAATCTCTACGTCCACAGAAACGCACCAAGAAGTTTCCTTGTCCAGAATGTGGACAGAAGTTCATATCAAATCAAGCTTTAGAAATTCATGTGCGAATTCATACTGGAGAGCGACCTTTTGAATGTGCAGTGTGTCAGAAAGGCTTCAGTGTTGCAAGCACTCTGAAAGCACACATGCGAACTCATACTGGCGAAAGACCTTATGCATGCCAATTATGTCCAAGGAGGTTCTCTGAACATGGTACTCTGAAATGTCACATGCGGACCCATACAGGGGAGAAGCCCTATGAGTGTGATGTGTGTCACAAAAAGTTTTCTGAAAACAGCACTCTGCGTAGGCACTTGTTGACCCATACTGGGGAAAGGCCATTTGAATGTGAAACATGTCACAGTAAATTTATTCAGAAGTATAATCTGAATAACCACATAAGAAGAGTACACACAGGAACAACATTAGGCTTGTGATAAAGTGAATGTTTCTAGTCAGTATATATTCAATCTAGTCATCACAAAAAAAGGGGGGGGGGCGCTTTTTCTTACAAAAAAAAAGAAAAAGAAAAGAAGCACAACTTTTTGAAATTTGTTTGTTTCAGTCTTTGCACTGTCCTTTGAAACACAAATGCTGGTTCAAATGTTGAGATTTCAAATATTCTTCATTATAACCCATTCTGTCATACGGTAGTTGCCTTGTAACTATTGAATTTTATTACATACAAACAATAAAATAAAAGTCAATTGAATTTTTTTCCCCAGTTTTCAATTCTTCCACAGGGAGGTAAGAAGATTTGACTGACACTGGACAATCAAAATAATGTCATGTATGGCTGAACTAAAAATATATTTCAATCACTACTATCACATTAATTAAACAATGAAACACCACAAAGAACCAAATGAATAGTTGGTAACAGTTCTTTCAATAGGGAACAGAACATTAGTTTGTTCAAGTCTCTAAGGTATGGAAAGACAGGAAATGCAACATGGCTAACTTTGACTTTTGAGTTACATTGAGATTTAAAGTTTTGAATATTAATCATCCTTAACTCATCCATCCCGGATGAAAAAGACATCATTAACATTTAAGACCAATCCTAACAACTGTTTGAGCAAAAGTAGTACAGTGTGGCCTTGAAAGGAGAATCACAACAAACATGAGTACAACTATTAGAGGGCTTCCAAGGAATACATTAGCAGAGTGTCTTTTGCATCATATCAATGGTTTCTTTCCGCTAATGAACTCCACAGAAGACCCAATTTAAGAACCATCAAAGTGCACTAACAGTAAAACCATCAAAACAGTGATGCTCAACAGAATCATCCTCCAGGCTGCAGTCTTTCTTGCTGCAACAGATGGTGTGGGATGAGCCCCACCTTGCTGCCTCGGCTTCCACCACACTTCTATGAGATGTGTTCCTTCAGTCTGTCGTTCACACTTTTAAATGTAAAAATCCAGTACGAGAATGTGCAGTCTGTTTACTAATGCTATGAGTAGTCATCCTCATCATCCTCAATGCTGGCTTGACTCTTGGCAAGTTGAGCTGCAGCCGCAGCCTGAATTTGTGTCCACTGTTGCTGCTGTTGCTCTGCTGCCGCCTGTTCTTCACGAGCCTGGAAATGCAAGAGGGAATTGTTTAACAAAAAACACCTATAAACATACAATGATTGAATAGAACACTGATTTTTTTTAAAACCTAACCTTAGCAAATAGTTCTTGTTGACGCCGATATAGCTCTTCTTCTGGTATTCCAAGATTTTCCAGTCGATTACTCTGCCGTCTTCTCTTTGCAGCCACTGCTTTACAATCTCTAAGAACTGCTTCTGCATCATCTTGGTAGTCAGCAAATCCTAATATTCCAAGTGCTACAAAAATAAAAGAAGTGTTAGGTAATTGTAACAAAAACTAGAAGTATTCAAAATAACACAACCAGCACATTATCCCCACCTTCTAGAACATGATCAGCATTGATAGTTTTTTTCTGGTGCTTATTACAAATGTTGTTGGCCTCCGAGGCAATGTGATGGATGAATTCAGTACAACAATTTACTATGAGGTCTCTACATTCATTGGCTACACGAGTGTTGCTCGGTAAAATTTCCTTAATAAGTTTATAAATGGATGCACGAGGAATTGTAAGCTCTTCTTCCTCAGCAGCTGATCCACCGGGAGCAGATGCCATCCTGAAAATAGATAAAAATAAAAGCTACATCAGCATGATCTTCTAGCTTACACAGAGTTCAACCACTCAAACAGGGCAAAATATTTCATACATCTCAGAGTCAAAATTGTGGCAACTGTCAAAGATTAAACCTGCCATATTTTTTTATGGGATTGAAACCCTAAATAGTACACAAAAGAATCTTACTTGGTAGTATGATGATAGGGGTTATGTATCTCTTGATAAAGACTGACTAGAAGTCAAAATAAATTAAAGACAGTGGAAAAGACTAAAACATATACTGCTACTTTTTAAAACGCTTACAAGAGTAACCACAATTATACTGTCTTACTAAAAGATATCTAGCTATTCAGAAACACGAGAGTTTAACCTGGTTTTTTAACACTAAAATAAAATCAACATTCCAAATATTGCTCCGTTACACGTTCAATATGCGAAATATTGAGGAGAGCCACTGAAGTATGAAAAGAAGTAGAGGAAACTTTTTCTGTTGTTTCCGCTGAATTCCTGTTTCAAATTGCATCCTTGCAAGTTATTCAACTTTTAAATAAATTTTATCACTTTTTCTGACAGTATTTCGTCAGTGAAATACAAAAAAACACATTTTCTTCAACACTTTCTGCAATGAGCACCTTACCCCATTCGGTGGCGAGGTGGCAGCGCGTAGTGGGAACCATAACATTCAAATTTTCTCGTGCGTTTCGGTTAAAATGAGTAGTCCTATCGTCTTCGGTGTGAAAAATTAACTCCCTACCACACAAGTCTTATCAAAAATAACACCAAACTAAGGGCGTTTGAGATATTTTAGCGACTAGAGGCTTCTGCTTTGTTATGGTTCCGCCGAATGGGGTAAGGTGCTCATTATGCCTCTAGTTCGTGTTTGAATTGGCGCGCTTCGACGCCGTTGCCGCAAACTTGTAAAAAATAAAGAAAAATACTTTAGACCATTCGCAGACAATCAAGTTTTAAATGTTAGAAAATTGATTTTTATTTTTGTAAACAATTTTATATGGGACATAAATTTATCGCTAAATAGTTAAAAACGATCTTTTAGAAAGAAAGATGTTTTCCTCCTTATGGGGATGGCGATATGAGAAGCTCGGGGCAGAGGGCGCTAGTGGGCTGGGAGTTCAACTGTGGTGCGCGCGATTCAAACTCAGGGGAACCGAAATACGCGTTTGCGAAACGGGGAAGAAATATAGAGAGTAAAGGTTAACACTAGATGTAAGATTGGATAGAAAATAATAGATCAAAGTCAAGAAATATTCCAATTCCGTCAAAAATAACTTGTTATATCACATTAACGAAGGCAGGTAACGGAATGTTCAAATCGAGGAAAAAAAAGCTTCTCTCAATGACATAAACGTTAAATTAGCAAGGGTAATGTCATTTATCGGATGCTTTCACTCAGGCAGAAGTAGATTTTAATATTAAATGAGTTATTTCATGTTTTTAAAGCAAAAATACGAAGAGAGGAAGGCTCACGGCAGCCGCGGTATGTCGGCCAAACTAAAACGACTCGCTCTTTATTACGGCGAATAATTTCCTCTGCATCTCCTCGTCAGAAATGCACCCTATGTCTATAGTCCCCATTAACACAAAAAAGTGCCGAGATTTCGGTCAATTTCTTTTAAAACAAGCACTTATTCGATGCCACTGTTACCCATATGACACAATGGGGAAGCGCGGTCTCGAAGCGAGAGTTGAACTCTTGGCCCATTAGCGCTCCTAGCGGCCGCAAGTGGCAGTCGCCATCCCCATGCTGGTGTCACGTTGTCACAGTCACAGCCCTCGATAACTCAATTCAAATATTGAAGAAGCGCGAAACGTAAGCTTCTGCTACATTTTCTATTTTCAGTTTATGTTTACATATTTTTGAATGAGAAAATGACAACAGATGTGTTGTTAAGTAACATTAGCAGTGATACAAATATTCTCAATGCATTTAGTTTTGAGGAATATATATCTCCTTCTGTATGGGCATCATTTATTAAAGTTGTTAATGCCTCACTACTTCCTGAGCAAACCTATGGCGAAGATAGACCTTCAGAGGATAATGATTTTGTGTGTTTTCGTGAAAAAGTATTACATGGACTTGAAGCTTTGTCAAATTTTATGAATAAATATGCAACTTCCACTGTACCTCAAAGTTTTTCCCGTGATGCCATGGTAAGATATTGAAATTTAAACGTGATGTCCAGTGCATCATATTAACATACTTGCTAAGAAAAGTTCCATTCTTTCAGGTTGGGCTACTGATACTCTATGCAGAACATTCTTCTCCTGAGATATGGACATCAAATGACAGTCGAAACATACTTGCGTCTTGTTCAAGGGTGCTTTGCTCGATCTTTGGCTGTACATCACCTTCAGAACTCCTTCTCGGACAGTGTCAAAACACAAACGGACCTTGCTTTAAACAGGCTCTTTTACTCCTCCGACCAAAACTGTTGAGAAACTCATGGCGTAAACACCCAGGAGCAGTTGCATCGTATAAGTGGCTATTATTTCAAGTTTATGCACCCAATCTTTCTGAGTATTTAGATGTTGTGTCTCCAACAGCACTTATAATCCTAGATGATCATGACATTGAAAGAAGGCTGATTGGGTTGGACTGTGTTTCGCACATAATAGGTAATGTGGTAAGTAAAATAATTATGTGGATATTTTTTTACTTTCTTTTGTTAGTTTTATGAACTTTAATGCAATCTATTGTTTTTGTTGGGTAGACGCGTACTGAAATGTGCCAACGGGGACTACACACAGTATTTTATGAGGCCCTTGCACCCTTGCTGTTGCAACATCATGTCCAACAGATCGAGCCGACTGTCTCCTGTCTCATTAAATTACTCAGTGTTACGGAACGAGGATACACTAGAAGTACTGAACCAGGAATGGTTAGTGGGTGTGCACTGACATTTGTGTTCAAGAAACGTGTTACTATATTAATGAAAACATGGAATTTATTGCAGTGGGACCAGTTTGATAAAACAATAAGCACACTAATTGACCGAATGGTAATTGAAGATCAAATACCGCTGCGGCTGGCTTACATCAAGTCCTTGGGACCTTTAATGACAGCAATGGGTCCCTCTGTTATAAGGTGGAGCAAACCTCTGTTATCTGTTTTTGATGGATATCTGTCTAAAGAATCCTTTGATACTAGGGAATATGCTTTACAGGTTGGTATCAAATCATAGTTTATCAGCTACATAGTCATGACAGCTCAAGCCAATTGCTGGTTGAGTTTTGCATGTGAAACGTTCAGAACACAGCACCCCTAACTCATTGATTGGATTGAAGGGGGAGTGTGGTCAATAATGCCGATGTTGAGAAATCTTTGCATTTTCTCTCAAGTCCTCAAAGGACCAATCAACAATTGCTAGCAACACAGTTTGATGCAACCATGCAGTCTGAAAATTAGTGTGCTCATCATTCTCTAAATTGTCTGTTTCAGGCTTTGCAATCCTTCTTGAATCTCACAGCTCTTAGAATTAACAAAAATGGAGATGCAATACTATTCTTACTACTGCGAGCACTGCAAGACATATCTACTGAAATTAATGAAAAATCAGTGCAGCCTATAATACCAGAATTAATCAAGGAGAATATTATCCTTATCAAGAAATTAGCTCCGGCTGAATTCAAGAGTGTACAGGAAGAACTAAGCCAGCTCTCTGCAAATTCATACATGAAAAATTTTCTTTTGGGAATCAGTGCAGCATAACGTTTGAAAGAACAGCTAATACTGATGTTCATCATGAAAAATGTTTGAAAAATAAAACAAGTAAATTATAATAAGCAGATAGTTTATTAAGAATAAGTTTAACGCTTCCTGCGCAGAGAGAGAGAATTCTTTCTGAGCCAAGCGGCACGGCGAGATCCACCCTTGGTCTGAGAATATCTGTGACCCTTTCCAAGTCCTCGGGACTTGCGGCCAGCAGAGGTAAGACCACGAAGCTCGCGATGCTTCATGACAGGTTTGCAGATCCAGTTGGCCTTGGGATCTCTCCTGATAGCCTGAAAACAATTTTAATTTAATATATACCAGAGGACACAAGATAAATGTACACCAGTTCCATAATAAAGGAACATACCTTGTGGGCAGGGTCAACACAGATAACTTCAAAATATTTGTAGGTAGAATCTTCAGCAACCCAGTATGAGTTCAGAACCCTGAGGCCACCACACCTTCTACCAACACGCTCCTGCAAATAAAAGTAACAAACATTAGAGTACATATTACTTGCCTACAAAACCTCTGCAGAGCAATAAAACAAACTCAGACATCCAAGGAAGAAAATGGCATCACTGCATCTCAAAACGGTATAAGAAAATGTCATCATAGCTTGGTATGAAATTGATTTTAAACTGGAATAAGACATGTATGACTCAGACATCCAAGGAAGAAAAGGCATCATAGAGTTTCAAAAACAAAAGTAGAAATGTCATCATAGTCTGTAATCGACCCTCCCTTGACACTAACAGATCACTCTGACATCCAGGGAAACAAGGGCATCATAATTGGTCAACAAAATATCTATTACTAACATCATACATCGGTTTGTGTCAGGTTTAGCATGAACATTAATGGTCACCCATTTACTACTAATCATATACTTCATCAGGTGTACAGAGCCAAATTCAGACATCCAAGGAAGAAAAAGGCATCACTGATAATCAAGGTGTTTTTGAATGATATCATCAGCATCTGGCTCTCGAGTACACCCCTTAACAAAATACCATGAAGCTCTTACCTCAGCCACAGACTGCAGGTTGCGGGTGGGCTTCAGCTGGTTCACACCCTGGCTCTTGGGCTTGCCGTAGGTGGCACCCTTAGGAACGGGCTTCTTGCGGCCTCCTCTACGTACCCGAATACGGAACACAGCGTATCCTGCATGGAGATAGAGAGGTTAGAATAAGACTATGGCCGGCATGATAAATAGAGTACACAACCTACACGAAAATACTCGTTTAAGAAAATGAACCAAAACCTAACTCGAAGGGACACGAAGATAGATGCAAGAGAAAATTATCCCTCGGTTAAAGAGATCACTTACCGTGCTTGGCCTTATATCCCATGCGACGGGCCTTGTCCGGCCTGGAAGGTTTGGGAGCCCTGTGCATCTTTGTGAGCTGGCGGTATTGCCAAACTCTAATACGGAGCAAAAAGCGAAGAACATCGCTCTGCTTCTTACGGTAGAGTTCCTGAATGTATTTGTAGGCGCCCATGTTGAGGCCGCTGGAAAGAAAAAGAGAGAGAACGTTACCCACGAGTTTAGAGGCAATGTATACGAAGCACCAGGGACCGGACGGTGTCAACTAAATATTTTTTTTGAGATTAATACTAGATTATGGAGGAGACTGGTGCTCTGATAAATCTACGGAAACGGTAGAATAAAATCTAGTCTACGCCGAAACGAAAATACACATTTCTTCCTTACGGATTTAACTAGATAAATTCAGATAAATTGGTGGATAAACATGTACCTTGCTTACAACCACCCCGGAAAAGGAAATGGACGTGGAGTACAGCAGCGAGGGTTTAGGCTTGTGGAGGGGGGAAAGGAATCGTCAAGCCAACTTCACAAACACAACAAAATTCCAACTTTACAAATCCCGCTTCCTTTCTATCCTTTTTAAACAAAACAGGTGAATTAATACATCTAAATCTTGCTCCGACGAGTGAAATGCGAAGTAAAACCTGCATTTTACATCCTTTTGCAAATATTTTTTTGTGCTTGTAGTGCCAGTTTTGGGTTTCAGAAGACAAAAGAAAAATCATTTTGACAAGGCGCAGATTCGTGTGTTGTTGTTGTTGTTCGGACGGAAATTGTGAGCTGTGAACGAAGAGGATGAAACATATCAGCTGATGTCATTTTTTCAAGCTTAAGAACGCAGTAATCTCGTTAGTTCCGCTGTGCATGTGACTTGCTCTAGTGCGCTTACGCCCTCACCGTCAATGAATTACACATCACCATCTAATTACGATGACAAACTCAACAATTCGGCCCCCTTGTATCAGTTGGAGGAAGGGTTCGACAAGCTGTCAGTGGAGGACTATGTTGGCGAGGGAGAGGTCGCGGAGGACGAGGTGCTGTATGTCACGCCTCAAGGAAGTATAGTCACCGAAGATTTTTGCGGTGTTTACGAGACCACCAACCCTCTTGGTGAGGACCAGACGCCAGAATGGCCCTTTTCCTTTTCAAGTCCAACATCAGCCTCCTCCCCAGACCCTGGGCTAGACCAACCCATCAGAGAACTGACTGCAGAGCAGGTCCGTTGGTTTTACAAGAGCGACTCAGACAAACTGTGGGTGCCTTTCAGCGGGTTTGATTCTCTTCGCATCGAAGAAAGGTTTCGTCAACAAAAGCACCCATTGCAACCAGACCATGGCCCTAACCAGCCCCCAGCTTCACATTCGGATAGTTCCAATAGTGCCTCGACAAGTTCCATGGATGATAGTGTGTACTATGATGCCTGCAGTGCAGGGTACTCGGATGGAGAGTCACCTTCAGCTTCCCAACATAAAGACCACCTTGTGGTCAGAGGAGGAATGTACGAGGTTGATATTGAAAGGCGGAAATGTGTTTCTATCTTTTGGCCAGGTAACATTACCATAATTGTTATTATTGAAGGCTATTAAATGTTTTTTTCCTGGTAATTAATGTACACTGTTAAAATTTACAACCCTTGTTTATTTGTTTAAAAAAAATTAAGGTGAACAATGTGCTATAATGAGAGGACTATGGTTTTATGAAGTTACATGGCAGCCATTAGATAGTGATCGATATGATCAGATTGAAAATGTTCATTTGGCTCTTTTTGCAAATCATTGTATTTCTGACTATCTCTCTGCAAGCAATCCCAAACAACCCAAACAAGGTATACCTTTTCACTAAAATTTATCTTTGACTTTTTGATTGTTCTGTTAATTGTTTAACAATTTGTTTTCCAGTTGTCAAGTCTGAAAACTTTAACGAATTTCGTATTGATTGGTACTCTCCGATTGAAGTATATCTGTACAGTGAAGCAGGGCCTTTAAAGCTAGTTAGTAGCTTTACCCAAAAATTGGGATATTTTCAAAAATGTTAGTACAGTTTCATTAAAATAATTATTACTACTTAGTCATATTATGACCAAATATCTTATCTTCTGCATGTTTTCTTTTCTGTTTAGCTACTGGATATCGACTATGCCGTGGGTACAAAACACGGGCAACTCTAGATGACCGCCCAGTTGATGTCACTCATCTAGTCTTTGTCATTCATGGGATTGGACAGAAAATGGATAAAGATCGGATCATTCGGAACACTTGCACGTCTGTATATGTATCTGTAATCTGTTATGTATTTCACTTAACTCCTCTTTAATAACTCATTCAATTTTTCATTCTTTTTATTGGTTCAGGTTTCGTCATTGCACCTCTTGGTTGCAAACTAAGTACTTCCCTACATCCACATCCCAACATCGTGCCGAGTTTTTCCCTGTAGAGTGGCGGGCTTCTCTGAAACTAGATGGAGGTATGGTTGAGAGCAAAAGTCATAATTTTCTAATTGTTTAATGAGAAACCTCAACTAATAATTTGTATCTTCTTATCCATACAGGAATTGTTGAAGCAATAACTCCTAATAAGGTTCAAAGTATCAGGCAACGTTTGAATGCTACTGCAATGGATATAATGTATTACACTAGTCCTCTCTACAGTAGTGAAATTCAAAAAGGCTTGACTTGTGAGTTGAATCGCCTGTATTCAACATTCACCCAACGCAATCCAGATTTTACATCCCGTGGTGGGAAAGTATCAATAATGGCTCATTCCTTGGGTTGTGTGATTGTGTATGACATTATCACAGGCTGGAGTATTACCCACACTTTAGAGCAGCGAAAGGTTTCTATCTGTTTCCCCCCCTGGGATGCACTGTGTTAAATCAATAATACAGGGGCATTACCTTAATACTGATTTTATCTATCTCTAGGCTCAGGAGTCATCTAACAGCAACCTGAATGGTGCAATATATGACGATGGGAGTAGTCAGGCTTCTGGGGGTTCTAACACTCCTGCCTCTTCTCAGGGTACCACACCAACCCCAACACCAACCCATCGTCCTACTAAGTTACTCTTTGAGGTTTGTTATATTTTCTAGTTGTCTCATTTTGAAAGTAATAGTTGCCATTGCTATAATGTTTTTCCGTTTCTTTTCTTAGCTGGATAATCTGTTTTGCATGGGGTCACCTTTAGCTGTTTTCTTAGCTCTTCGTGTCAGAGATCCCCAAGCTGAGAGCTGTCATAAAGACTTACTACCACCAACTCTGTGTCATAGATTCTATAATATATTTCATCCATCAGACCCTGTGGCGTATAGGTCAGGAAACCTTCTTAATTTTTCATCCTCATTGTACCTACTACTAGTATATGACTTTAGAATTTTAATTCAATGTTTCAGAATGGAACCACTGTTAGTGCGTGGATATGCTAAGCTCCATCCTGTACAAATCCAAGCATATAATGCAACCAATCACAATCTGTATTCGGATGTTCCTTTAGAATTTATTGTTGATGGTATTGGCTCAGTTAATCAGTCAGCTGCAACCCGTCAAGGTGCAGATGAAGACTCACCGAAATCTCCTGGCGGAACTCCCAGCCGTGGTGGGTAATTTAAAACTTGATAAATGTCCCTCCTAAAATTGCCCCAAACTACATGGCTACGTCCTCAGTTACCTTATTATTGTGAATGTTGAAATGTAAATTGTTTTCATAGAACGTGGGTGGAGTCTCTGGAGCATTGTGCGCGGTGGCTGGAAAGCACAGGATGAGAGTGGATTACCTCTTCTAGATTCTCCTACTCAAGGTATGTGATGCTGTCTCACAACAATTTAATGTCTGAGTAATTGTCTTACTAATTTTGAAAATATTTTCCAGGGCTAGAACACCGTTTAGACTATGTTTTGAGAGACAGTAACCTAGGTGGCCCATATTTGTCAGCAATCACATCTCATACTGATTACTGGCGAAACTATGATGTTGCCTACTTTGTTCTCACAAGACTCTTCCCTGATCTTGAACAGATGGCTGTGATGGCCAGTCCCCTTGACTGCGAGTATTCTCAGCCGTCACCTCAATCTCCTCAGCAAACCTCTCCCCAACAGGCTACCCCTCGTGTTGCATCCCCTCCATTATTGCAGCAAATGTTATCTCAGGTGTCTGACCAGATGAAGTCTTAGTATTCTTCATTTTTATTTCTTTTCTTTTTTTTATCTCACTCGACTTTATATTTTTTTGAATTTTGAAACTTTTTAGTGCCAAAGTTAGTGCAAAGCTGGCCCATACCTTAATGTCCCTCTTTTTGACAGGTGCAATCTCAGGCCCAGTCAGTTCTGCAAATTCAGCCTCCATCACTTCCGTTAATATCAATTTCCCCAACTATACTGCAACGCAAAGGAAGCAATGGAGCGGCCAGTAGATAGGCAGCTTTTTTCTTCATATTTTTTCTTGCTTACTTAAGAATGTGTCTGTCCTGGTTTAGTCTGACGAATTCTGTTTTAAATGGGTCTACTTTGCTTGAGTAATTTATGTATTTATATTTTTGCATAGTATTTCTTGATGCCAAATACATCACTTATTGTATTACTAATAACTGTCCATGACGCCCTGCTCCTGCTTGTGCATCATATCCCTATCCTATTCTTTTGTGTATTTGTAATTCTATTTCCATAAACCTGTATTTTTGTCTACTGCATAGGCATATGTTTCGTCTCTCTTCTATCAATCTATCCCGTGCAACCTGTGCTTTCTTTGTTCCCTGTTGAAAGTGAAACATGTGTTCATTGAAACTTGTATTATCTAATCTATCATCAGCAATGTAATTATGAAGTTCATATGTCATGTATTTCTTTTGTTTGTGACAATAAGCATGACTCATTAAAATTAGTGGTTTTGAAGATATTTGGTTCAGACAATAATGCATTGTTTACAGCACAAATTGAAGAATTCCTAGGTGATTTTTAAATGTGTACAATATGTTGTTCAATAAGTTTCTTAACTGTGTATATTCTTGATTTATAGTGTACCAAGATCCTATTTGTATAAATAATTCTTGTAAAAACTGTTACAAAGTAATAGCAAGTATCATCTGTAAATTTTGAATTTTTTACAAATTTGCTTGTGGAATGTTGCCAAAAACTCGTCCTGATCGATTTTGGTGCTACCTGTTACAATTTTAATTTATCTATACGTTTTTACTGCTCTTTATTTACCTGTTGTTTTATTCTTTTCCTCATCAGTGCTTTCTAGTTTTATATTCTAGTTATTTTAACTTGTTGAGTATTGTTAGTGTTTTTGAAAAAGTTTACACTTCTTTTGTTTGTATTTTTTTACTCGCTCTTTACCATCTTTTACTCTTTTTCTCTCTGTTACGATGAACGATTATTGTTTGGTATGGGCAGTATATTAGTTTTGGTTGTGATGTGCCAAGGGATTCTGTTATCTGTCTAAACTGATAATCTGCAGTATGATGTGCAGTGATTCATTGAATGGTCTATTTCTTGTTCAGTTTGATATCTGTGGTTGGACTCCAATTTCTTTTGTTCTGGTTGTTGTCCAGTTACAACTGTCTGGTGTGGCTTACTGATAGTCGTCATGTTGGCATGAATTGACCAATTGTTTATTTTTGGTTTAATGAGTTTATTGGTAAACTGGTGATTATTTCAAGGATATTATGTCTGCATATGAGAAAAGGCGAGTCTTTCTCATGGTATCAGTGTTAAGTACTTTTACTAAGATTTTAGAATATGTTAGTTTAGAAATTTGATGCAATCATTGTCTTAGTTCTAGGAGCTTCAGTCTGTTTGCTGCCTTGCTCTCCTTTCTACCCATTGTCAACAGTTCGCTTTCCTCTCTCTTTTCAAGTCTGGAAGATATCCCCCTCTTTTCTCAAATAGCCACTCCTTTTATCAAAACCAAAGAACCTTACTATTGGGACAGACCTCATTTTCTTATCTATGCTAGGTCTTCCAAGCCCCCTCAAAGCTAAGAATTATATTCACCGAGGGTTTTTTTTTATTTTTATTTATTTTTTTTGTAATAATAATCAATATTTTGTCTGTGATTGATGTGTCTTAGTCCATACTTCGGTTCAGAAGTTCTAAGGATGTGATGACATGTTGACTCCTGTAAATCAATCAATGAATTCTGAACAACTGTTACTGTAAACCTTGTAAGTTTCAGACTTTAGGTCTGTAGGAGGCAAAACAATGATCTGTGCTAAAAGTCATGTGTCCAGTTAACATTCCACGTACCAAAAAAGAAAGAATATCTCCTGCCAGATTCTTCAGGGATTATGTAGTTAATATAATATGTAATGCAGCTTCCAGAAAGGGCCAATTTTGCCAAAAAGGAATGCCTTTAGAGGAAGACTTGTTTTTATCATTTTTTTTCAATCATTTGGCTTATTTGATACTGAAATTGTTTTATCAGGTGTGCAACTAAATAATCATTTGAGGACGAAGCACATTTATATTGCCTGTTTTTCTTCAGGAACCTTGCTCAAATTATTTGTGATTTTCTACTGGGCAGTGTATAGTAATTTAAAAAAAAAAAAAAGGTAGAGAGAGTAGTGCTGCAGACTTGTGAACTGACTTACTATCTATAGAAGTGATCTCTGCTGAATATGGCGAATTGGCTTGTCACTTTATCATAATCATGAAATTTTCAGAACATTGAAGTCTTTATAACTAACCTACCCGCTGCAGTGACCCTTCATTCTTGATTTACTGAACCTGTCTATTAAGTTGTCTGAAAAAGTGAAATATTTTTCCAATCTGGTTTTAAGAATGTTCATAGTTGTAAATCAGCCTAAGGATGTGTCTTTATAACAAAAGGTAGTTGATAATAATTGTTTTATAGGCACAGTGTGAAGTCTAGGTATATCATTTACAATGTGATTTAAAATATTAGCAGCATATCTGAACTGCGCTAGTTCTGCAGTTAATTTTTGTCTTGTAAACGTTACCAAATAGCCCAATTGTCATGTCTGAATAATTTGTAAGGCAGTTAGATTTTCTACTTGAATAAGCATTAGTTTGTTAAA